CACCTACGTAATTTCCTTTCCGGCATCCTTTGGCATTGTACGAGGCAGTCCCCGATGCTGTGACTAAAGTCCCTTTGTAGTTGGAAAGGTTGGGCCTTTCAGCTCCAATTATTCTCGGGCTTGAAAAGATGCGTTGGCAGATTTGGCACTTCTGTCTGAGATGAGGTTGAGTTACCTGCCTGAGGGAATGAACGCTTTTTTATCTGCGGGGAGCTTGCTGCTGGTAATCTGCCTGGAAAGGTAGGCCAGTTTCTGAAGCCTCGAAGTGTGAGTGTGTGAGACTGAGAGAGATGGAGAGTCAAGAAACACCCCCATGGGGGTATAGCTTCTTTTCTAATATAGCCCACAACTTAGGGTTGCCAGGTCGCCCTTGGTTACTGACAGTGGGCGGGGGGGGGGAGGGTTGCCAGCAATGCTCCGTGTAAGCTGTGGAGTCCTGTGAGCAAAAATTCTACTTTGTGAGCGACTGGCCTTAAAGTTGTGAGCGAGCAATTCGGCTACTGCATCAATTAGTTTGCCATCCTTCCTGAGCGAGGACAAAAATGTGTGCGCTGGAGGCTAAAATAACTGTGAGCTGGCTCACACTAAGTCAGCTTAGAGGAAACACTGGTTGCCAGCAGTGTTCCCTCTAAGATGTGCACGTGAGTGGCCGCTCATTAAAACAGGAAGCCCTGCTCAGCAGAAATCTGGAGCTGCTCAGGGTATTGCAATTCTCATTGCCCATTTTAAGGTTACCAAATATCCAAATTCCACTAGTAGAAAACACCATCAAAGATTGCCATAACAATATATCAAACAACTATAAATTGTTCTTACACTATGATTCACTTCTTACACTATGAAGCTCGTGGTCATTTGAAATTGCTGAAATCAGGTTCCACTTAGACAGCTGGCAAACTGAAGAAGTCGAAGGAAACGCATCTTCCAAATATCTAGAATGGGCGTCTTTGCAAAGGCTGTTTGGAAAATGTTTTGACTATGTGGACTCCTCCTATCAAGTTACACTGACTACATGGACTTCATGTCTTGTCTTCAAAGGAGGAAATTGTATCTTATGCCTTATAATAGTTACAGTATGCATTAATGTTGTTGTTGTGACACCACCAACTTTATAATTGTTTAATATATTGTTCTGGCAATCTTTGGTGGTGTTTTCTACTAGTGGAATTTGTATATTTGGGACTCCTGAGACACTAGTCCTTCCTGTGTTGTTTGGATCTACATTTTAAGATGACAGCAGTTATATTCTGCTCAGAAATCAGTGTTCCCTCTAAGCTGTGCACATGAGCGGCCGCTCATTAACACAGGAAGCCCCGCTCAGTAGCAAGCCGGAGCCGCAGGGGGTACTGCACTCCCCATTGCCCATTTTTAGATTACAGCAGTTATATTCTGGTCAGGATGTGAACTGCTCTGCTCAGTGGGGGGGGGGGGATTAGATGGAACATTGGTTGCCAGATCCAGGTTGAGGAACTCCTGGGGATTTGGGAGTGGAGCCTGGAAAGGACAGGGACTTCAATGGGGTACAATGCCATAGAGTCCCCCCTCCAAAGCATCCATTTTCTCCAGGGGAAGAGATCTCTGTAGTCTGGAGAAAAACTGTAAATTCAGGGGATAACCAGGTCCCACCTGAAGGCTGGGAACCGTAGTCATGTGCAATGTTCCGTCTAAGTCGTAGAGTCTTGTGAGCAAAAGTTCTACTTCATGAGCTACTGGCATCAAAGTTGTGAGTGAGCGATATGGCTGCTGCATAAATTAGTTTGCTCTGGAGCCCATCCTTCCAGAGTGAAGACAAAAATGTGTGAGCTGGAGGCTTAAAACCTGAGCTAGCTCACACTAACTCAACTTAGCGGGGACACTGGCCATGCGTAGATTTCCCTCCTTTCACCAGGCCCCCGTCCAGTCCACAGAGGCCCCTGAGGCAGCGTTCTCAAGTGATGACGGTCCCTGTTTCTGTGCCTCCCCAGAAAATCCCCCCCCGAACCGACTCATTCCATGAGAGCAGCCAGTGTTGCCCTCTCGCCTTCTATCTCCGTTGTCGCTGGGACGAGGCCGCTCGCTGAGCATTCCTTCCTTCCACGGTCATGCTGGTTTCCTTTACAGGCGCCTTGTCACATCCAGTGACAGTTAAGTTCCACTCAACACCATCACACCCTGCATCTCCGGTGAAGGGGGATAAAAAATGGATGAGGAAAATACTTCGAAAATATCCTCTCCCCGTCGATTACACAACAATGCAGCACCTCTCAAAATTAAGATTCCTGGTTAGCCGGGGATGTGCCGATCTGTCTGTTTCCATTTCTTTTTCCATTTCTTCTGGTTATTGTCATCAGTCTGGGTTTTGTGGTGAAACACGTTTGGCATTATTTTACTGTATTTAGCAGTGCGTGTTATTTTATTACAGGTGCACAATTTATTTTCTGTTTTGGATTAGTGTGTGTATTAAATGACTGGTGTTATGCTTTGTGCACATAATTGAATTTGTTCATTGATATATTGCATCATACTACTTGTTGTGTTTCTTTGTGCTCTCAACCCTTTTCCTGGGTTACCCTATATTTTTTTGTTTGGGTATTTGTTTCCTTTTTTTGTGGTATTGGTCTAGGTCAACCTCAGTCTTGTGGTTGTCCCTGATGATCCTGTGCTGTTGTTTGCGGTAGTTTTATTGCACTTACACATATGTCCAACTTTTATATAGTATGTAGGCAATTGACACACAGATCATGATGAAAAATGTGTACCTATTTTAAAGTAAAACTTTGGTGCAAAACCCCCAGAAAATGGTGTGAGCAGGAAGACACCCCCCCCCCCCGGTCATTTCTCATTAGTGTGGAAAGCAAGATTGAAATGGGAATATCTGAATTAAATTGGCAAGCTTGCAAATAATGATGGGCATGAATCACATTTTTGTGGTTCAGTTCGTGATTCGTGGCTGAACCACAAACTGAACCACGAACCGACACACTGGTTCGTGAACCAAACCAGTTCTATTGGTTCATGAGCCATTTAAAATTTAAACCCCTACTTTCTGCTCCCCGCAAAAAGCCACGGGAGCAGAAAGCAGGGGTTTAAATGGCTCTGAGCCATTTAAACAAAACAGGTGAGCAGTGGGAAGCTACCGGCTGCTCAGCTGTTTTTCATGTTTTTCTGCTCTTCATGAACCTTCACGATCCACCATGAACTGCATCAAAATTCATGGAAGTTCATGGCAGTTCTTCAGATCACGAACATTGCATTGTGAACCATGAACCAGCCAAAACTCGTGGTGAACTTTAGTTCGTCATCCAGTTCATGCCCATCCCTACTTCCGAAATTTAGTCTTGTTCCCAGTCCTAGAACTGAACATCTGATACAGATCCATGGGATGGAGACAGTGGGGGCTTTTACATCATTATCTGACTGAGTATATTGTTGATGAGGGAGGAAGAGAGGTACCATCTATTCTGTCCTATGAATGCAGCTCCTATCACCTTCATCCATAGGGTAGTGATCCCCAGTGTGGTTACCATGGGTGCCATGGTTCTTTCTGTGTTCTCTGAAGCCCTCACGCCTCTTCCCCTGTGCCAATCCTGGCTTTCCTTTGCCTCCTTGGAGCAGGAAGCATTTAAGAAGAGGCCAGGAAGCATCGCCTTTGTGTCTGCAGAAAGCAGCCGTTTGGAAACTCCTGTCTCCATCATGGGGGGATGCTCAGTTTGGAACCCCTTGTTATTGAACCTCTCAAGATTTTGTGATTGGATCCCGCCCCCAAGGGAGCCATTTGGTGATGGCTCCCGCCCACCATGGCAGCCATTTTGTCATCGTGCCCACTCCCTGTTTTCAAAATTCCATGAACCTGGAAGTGATGTCACACCAGTCTGGGAGTTTGCAGAAACTCTAGGGTTTTACCATATACCATACTATAGCAGGATGCCCGGCATCCTTACAATTGCTACACACTTGGCTTCTGTGCAGAGGCATTTACCTCTGTGTGCAATAGCAACAAGATGAGTCTACTCCCCACTCTGAGGTTTAACATTTAGTTTTAATGTCCCTGGGGAAGCATCTAAACACCAAAGAAAGAAGAAGAAGAAGAAGAGATTGGATTTATACCCCGCCCTTCACTCGGAGTCTCAGAGCGGCTTACAAACTCCTTTCCCTTCCCCTCCCCACAACAGACACCCTGTGAGGTGGGTGGGGCTGAGAGAACTCTGACACAAACTGCTCTTTTTCAAGGACAGCTGTGCCAGAGCTTGTGACTGACCCAAGATCACATCAGCAGGTGCAAGTGAAGGAGTGGGGAATCAAACCCGGTTCTCCCAGATTAGAGCCCGCACACTTAACCACTACACCAAATTGGCTCTAGCAAATCATACTAGCAAATCAAAAGACGCTAGCAAATCATACTAGCAATCATGCTACTTTCTTTTAGGTACCAGATGAAAATGCATCTCCCCCCCCCCCCGAGGCTTTTAATTCAAGGTTTTATTTTATGAATTTTTTAATGGTCGGCTTCTATTGTATTGATAGTTTTATGCTGCTTATGCCCAATGGCTTGTGTTTTAATGGCTTTTTTTAATATTGTTGTTTTTACTTGTAAGCCACCTCAAGCAGAACTCTAAAGCGGCGACACAGAAGTATTCCAAATAAATAACAGTTGAAATGTGAAATATGGTCAGTGATTTACTAGGGTCCAGAACCAGAAAACGGAGACTGCCTTTAGTCAATATGAGCAGTGGAAGCAGAAGGATTTTGATCTGTAGTTAGTTTTGCCCCAAGTGATCTTGTGATTTCATTTTTTTAATGCTCGTCTTCATAAAACTGCTTGTTTTGAAACCTCTGTACCACATGTATAAAACTAGTATGTCAGGGAGTAAGCCTGTTCCTCTTCTGGGGTTGCTAACTTTCTGCATGCAGGGAATTTTGCATACTATCAGAACTTGGGCCAATGCAATAACAGTTCTAGACCTTGTGAGGTTTTAAAGGAAAGCTACTAGAAACTGACAACCATTCCATTTGCATTGCAGATAACTACTACATAAAAGAGGGCGGTACAGACGTGTTATTGTGTGGCAACAGCTCAGATGCTGGGTGAGTATTATTTAAATGGCATTAAAAGAGTTACAGTGAAACCTGGTACCATCTATTTATTTATTTGGATTACTGGATCGCCGTTCATCAGACAGCACTTTGAAGATTATGTTCTGAGCAAGGCTCTTTTTGTAGCAGGAACTCCTTTGCATATTAGGCGACACACCCCTCATGTAGCCAATCCTCCAAGAGCTTACAGAGCTCTTCCTACAGGGGCTACTGTAAGGTCTTGGAGGATTGGCCACATTAGGGGTGTGTCGCCCAGGGCTCTTTTTGTAGCAGGAACTCCTTTGCATATTAGGCGACACACCCCTCATGTAGCCAATCCTCCAAGAGCTTACAGAGCTCTTCCTACAGGGGCTACTGTAAGGTCTTGGAGGATTGGCCACATTAGGGGTGTGTCGCCCAGGGCTCTTTTTGTAGCAGGAACTCCTTTGCATATTAGGCGACACACCCCTCATGTAGCCAATCCTCCAAGAGCTTACAGAGCTCTTCCTACAGGGGCTACTGTAAGGTCTTGGAGGATTGGCTACATGAGGGGTGTGTCGCCTAATATGCAAAGGAGTTCCTGCTACAAAAAGAGACCTGGTTCTGAGTACTGATGATAACTGCTTCTTGGGATATTTGTGAAACAGTAAAGAGCCCCTATAGGAATGTTGTCAAGAAGAGGAGTGATGAACTGGCATGCGTTTGGAATATGCATATCTTTCAGCTGTTGTGCTGTTTTGCTATTAGTGCAAAATGGCCCATCATTGTAACAGAGGATTACAGGAAGTGGTGGCGGCTACAGGCATAGACAGCTTCATGAGGGGATTGAATAAACATATGGAGCAGAGGCCCATCAGTGGCTAATAGCCACAAGGTATAGAGGGAACACTCTGTCTGGGGCAGTAGTGCTTTGTATTTTTGATGTTTGGGGGGCAACAGTTGGAGGGCTTCTGGAGTTCTGACCCCACTGGTGGACCTCCTGATGGCACCTGGTATTTCTGGCCACTGAGTGACACAGAGTGTTGGACTGGATGGGCCATTAGCTTGATCCTACATGGCTTCTCTTATGTTCTCTGTCTTCTTGGTGTTGGGGGGGGGGCAACAGTGGGAGGGCTTCTGGAGTTCTGGTCCTGCTAGTAGACCTCCTGATGGCACCTGGGTTTTGGCCACTGGGTGACACAGAGTGTTGGACTGGAAGGGCCATTGGCCTGATCCTACATAGTTTCTCTTATGTTCTTATGTCCGCTTAGCCACAAGGTCTAGGTAGAACTCTCTGTCTGGGGCAGTGATGCTCTGTATTCTTGGTGCTTGGGGGGGGGGCAACAGTGGGAGGGCTTCTGGAGTTCTGGTCCTGCTAGTAGACCTCCTGATGGCACCTGGGTTTTGGCCACTGTGTGGCACAGTATGTTGAACTGGATAGGCCATTGGCCTCTCCCAGGCATAAATCAAGGCGTTTCAATGATCTTCAACAGTGGCTGGTGAAACGGAACCCAGTTTCCAGAATAACTCGGGCACAGCTCAAAAGCTTCAATGGAAACCTAGGGAGTCTTCTGCTGCGGTTACTTTCTGTTTGGAGGTCTACGGACACTATCGATGTCTTACAGAGGAGCCTACTGTTGGTTTGGAATATGTTCTTTGTTTAAACTATGTTTAATTGTTATGCGCAATTTGTTGGATCTATGTCTATATACTCTATTGGGTTGTGACCGCTAGCTTCTGAATTTGACCAGATCGGGCTAGCCTGGGCCCTCCAGGCCATAAGCATAAATACATTTGCACATTTCCAAAATCCCCAGGGACCTTTTGGAGGAAGTGGGACAGAACTGACCGTTTAAAGCACAAACGGTGCCATCCTGGGCAGAATTACATCCTTCTAAGCCCACTGACATCAATGGGCCTAGAAGGGTGTAACTCTGTTTAGGATTGCTCTAAAAAAAATTTCCCCACCCGTTGTTAGAAACCAAAGCTGCCTTGAATGTTTTCATTTTTCCTCCCCATTCTGTATTATAATAGCACCCTGAGAGCTAGTTTGGTGTAGTGGTTAAATGTGCACAGGGGCTTTTCCTGCGGGAGCGCACAGGAGCAGAGCTCTGGCAGTAAGGAGCTCAGGGGGAGGGCACATGCAACAAGCCCCACCCCCTGCTCCTAGCAGCCCTCAGTCAGAGCAAGAAGCAGCCAGGTAAGTTGCAGAGTCCCCCCCCCAGCCCCCGGTCCAAAACAGTCCAGTGGCACCTTTAAGACCAAGTTTTATTCAGGTACAAGCTCTCCCTCCTCTGCAAGGACAGATCTGCATGTCCCCCCCCCCCAATAGCTAGCAATCCAAAAACGACCAGTGGAGCCTGAGCGGTGGGTGTTGCCTTCTGACACACTTCCGGTGATGTCAGGGGGTGTGCCGTATGCAAATGAGTTATGTTAATGAGTTATGCTAATGAGCTCCTGTATCTGTTTTTCTACGAAATGACCCCTGAGTGTGCGGACTCTAATCTGGGAGAACCGGGTTTGATTCCCCACTCCTCCACTTGCACCTGGCTGGGTGACCTTGGGCAATCCATAGTTCTGTCAGAGCTGTCCTTGAAAAGGCAGTCTCTGTCAGAGCTCTCTCACCCCCACCTACCTCACAGGGTGTCTGTTGTGGGGAGGAGAAGTGAAAGGCGTTTGTAAACGACTCTGAGACTCCTCTGGGTAGTGAAGAGCAGGGTATAAATCCAATCTCTTTTTTTTTCTTCTTCTTCAAATTAGCCTTTCATCCGAAACCACGGGCTTGCCCTGGATTCCCTGTCTCCCCAATTAACATCTGATTAATCAGGGAAAGGTTTAGCGGATCCGCCTATCGATTCAACCAGTCAGCGTTTCCAGCCTTTGTTTGTATAGATATCATATTCCACTCCCCTGCCTTCACCAGATTCTCTGTTCTAGTTGTAGGAGAATGGGGATCTCCCCTTCCGAGGGTCACTAATAACAGGAGTGGTGATGACGGGGCGGCTTTCAGGCATGATAATGCAATTTCCCAAACAGTGGGGGAGCAAAGACGGGAAGCTTCAAGCTTGCTCAAACCCACGTCCTTCTGGAGTCTTCTTACCAGTCCTCTCTCAATCCATTTAATTTTCTCCTGGAAACTCGATAATGTGTTCGGCGGCGTCAATTCGGGGTTTTATTATTGTTATTTTAATGAAAGGCGAAACGGGTGGTGGGAGAATCAGAAACGCAAGGGGTGGATGATTAGCTCCAGTGATTTCCTGCGGGGGTTGGAAGAACCCGGGGGTGGGTCTAAAGTCCCTTTGGAAAATAGTTAGATGACACCTCGTCCCAGAGGTGTGAATACTGTGATGGTGACGCAGAGATTGACAGGCAGTCTGTGCAAGGAGCAGATGATGTGGAAAGACCCTTCCTAGAGGACACAGGTTCAGGCTGCGGGGGGGGGGGCACATGACTGAAACTTCGTGAGTGTCCCACTGTGAGTGTTTGTCCCTTATCCCTTGTGCTATTGTTTCTCTCTCCATCCTAATTCCTTATACTTTGAATAAAACTTTGGCCCTGTCCACACGAGGGGTTTTGGGCCGGGAGTGGGCCGGATTGGGGCCGGAGCAAATGGGCGCAATCCCACTGCAACATCTGGGCAGCGTTGCACACCCGTCCCCGATCCGGCCCTTTTCCCGAAAAAACGCATCAAAAATGAACCACCTACCGAGGTGGTTCATCCACGGCGGCCGCATCAACGCCGGCCATGGGATCGCCGGCCCGTCCCCGACCCGTCCCCGATCCGGCCCTTTTCCCGAAAAAACGCATCAAAAATGAACCACCTACCGAGGTGGTTCATCCACGGCGGCCGCATCAACGCCGGCCATGGGATCGCCGGCCCGTCTTTCCTGCCTGAACTGCGCATGCTCAGACATGCGCAGTTCGGCAGTCTCCTGTTCCCCTCCGTCGCTTCCCCCGGCATCTGATCGTGCTGGGGAGGGAATGCGCCGCAGCTCAGGGGATCAATGTGATCCCGCCGCGGCGTGTTTCTTTTGGTGCGGCTTTCAGAAGCCGCGCTTCAGCCCGTCCCTTTCCGCCCCGTGTGGCAGGGGCCTTTGTTGGTCTTCAAGGTGCCCCTGGACTCTCACTTGGTTCTCCTGCTTCAGACCAACATGGCTGCCCACCTGGATCACACCAATTCCTGTCAGGCCTCAGAACTGGGGGCTGGTAAGAAGCTGGCTGTGTGCCGCAGGTCTTCTCCTCTCCAGTTTGGTGGAGTGGTTAGGAGCACGGACTCTGATCTGGGAGAACTGGGTTTGATTCTCCACTCCTCCACATGCAGCTGATGGTGTGACCTTGGGTCAGTCATAAGTTCTTTCAGAGCTGTTCTCTCAAGGGCAGTCCTTGAAAGAGCTCTCTCAGCCCCACTTACCTCACAGGGAGGGGGAAGGAAAGGGGGATTGTAAGCCGCTCTGAGACTCCTTCAGGTAGTGAAAGGCAGGATATAAATCCTATCTCCTCCTCCTCCTCCTCTTCTTCTTCTTTCTCTCCCTCTCCCTCTTCCTCCCCTCCCCTCTCCTCTCCTCTCCTCCCCTCCTCTCCTCTCCTGGAGTCCCACCCAGCCTCATTGCCTGGTGTGCTGACTCCTTCCTCCCTAGTGTGGAGCCATCCTTTTATTTTCCCTTTAGGCTTTGTCCCGCCTCCCCCCCCCTCGAGGAGCCAATCAGCCACCGTGCCCCATTAACCCAACTGCTCAGCGCCTGGATCTAGCTTGGCCTGGGCTTGTTTCCTTGGGCCAGGAATCCCTCTTGAATCAGCTGCTGGCTGGCTCCAGGCGACTCTCTAGGCTGCTTAAGCAAAGCAGTTTACGATATTGTATTCCTCTCTGTCATCTTCACCTCACAACAATTTTTTAAATTGTTTATTTGATTTGATTGATTTATAGACTGCCCCCCCCCCACAGATGGGGTCAGGGTGGTTCACAACAGTCCCAATTCAATACCATTAAAACAGTAATTAAAATAACAATTTAAACAGTAAAACCATAAAATGCC